ATCCAGCTTGAATAATGATAGCAATCAACCTAAAATTGGATCAATTAATAATTAATTAAGCTACGTACCACTAAAGTACTTACCTTTTGACATTTATTTGAAATGAAACACTGATTAGCTCAATGGCAGTTAGCAGAGCCAGGCATATTGTAGCAATGGTAGCACTTGCTATACTCAACTTACAAGTGGGCACATTATAATTGTACAGACTTGAGTTCATAGCTTGAGTATAAGTAATGAAAAAATGACACCTTGAATATACCCCATTATTAATGTTAGCCTGAAGGAGACCAAGAGAAGTACCAGCAGCTCCCAATGACACTAGAAGTACTGCAAGAGGAACTACCGAGAGGATCTGCTTGATTATTTCAGGCATCTTTATTGAAGTTAATACGGTTGTCAAAGTTTTTCTTTATATGCATGAAAGTCATAACGGAGCCCAACCCTTTGTTTACTATATAAATGCAGTTTCAGTGTTTATGCATGTAGCCTTAGGGAACTGTCATTGCTACTATAATTCTATATTAATTGTATTGTTGTGCTAATTATAGTGGAAGCATTTCCTGTAATGCTTCAAAGTTCAAATACTTGTATGTCTTAATAGCAAACCAAACAACATTAATTGTGAACATGTTTATTTAGTTTATGCTGCAATATGCATAGCTTGCTGACTGATAAAACAGTCTTAATTGCAATAGCTTTCCCTGCTAATAGTCTATTTTTATTATTCCATCAACATTATAAGCTTTTAATTATTCTATAGATGGTTAAGCATGCAGCCCTATCACTCTGCCGTTAGCCTATAATGGTGGAATTCTCTTAAAGATATTGAAACCTGCCATAATTGTATTCTAGCCTTATTCCAGCAATTAGAGGAGATCAGATTTGTGGCTCCCGAGTAGTGTCTGAGCTTGTTTTGAAGTAAAGATGACCATAAATAAATTGTAATAGATCTACCGGTATGTGTATCTCAATGGCATTCATGGTGTATAACATGATGCTTCTCCATTAATATGCATTATTTGTGAGGGAAACTACCTTATCTGAACTTTGGTAGGAGGCTATTTTGACCCATGATCTGTATCGTGTCCTGGGAACTACTTTGTTATTGTATATAATTGTATATAGCTGGAGCAAACTAAATCAATGCTCATTTACACGTTACCATATTAAGTTAATAAAAGGATTTTTACTTCAACTACTTATTTTTTGTACTACTGATAGACAATACACTAATAAATTCAGAAGAAATCAGTAATTAGAGTCAATGTTACATTATAGTCAGTGTTCAGTAGTTTAGAGTAGTTTCATTATCATCTTTTGACCTCCTCATCAGCTTCACAATTGAGTAGCAAAAAGCTCCAGCAGCTATTGCAGCACCAACACCAGCAAGTACCTATCATTGTATAATGCTTTTAATATGTAGAAATGTTAATATAACAACTTACAGCAGCTGTAATGAAATCTGCACCATTTGGTGCATACGGTCCAACACCAGAGAAATATTGTGGTCCAGTGCAGTCAATGTTACCATCTAAGCTCATTATGTTTTTGTATGTAGCACAAGTCTTTCCCCAACCAGCTGAAACCACAATCATGGTAATCAATAGGAACAAAATAGAACCAACAAAGAATCCAGCTTGAATAATGACAGCAATCAACCTAAACTTGAATTAATTAATATTTAATTAAGCTACATACCACTGAAATACTTACCTTTTGACATTTATTTGAAATAAAACACTGATTAGCTCAATGGCAGTTAGCAGAGCCAGACATATTGTAGCAATGGCAGCACTTGCTACACTCAACTTACAAGTGGGTACATTGTAATTTATCAGACTTGAGTTCATAGCTTGAGTATAAGTAATGAAAAAACGACATGCTATCCCATTATCAGTGTTAGCCTGAATGAGACCAAGAGAAGTACCAGCAGCTCCCAGTGACAATAGAAGTACTGCAAGAGGAACTACTGAGAGGATCTGCTTGATTATTTCAGGCATCTTTATTGAAGTTAGTACGATTGTCAAAGTTTTTTCTTTATATACATGAGAGTCATAACGGAGCCCAACCCTTTGTTTACTATATAAATGCAGTTTTAGTGTTTATGCATGTAGCCTTAGGGAACTGTCATTACTACTATAATTCTATATTAATTGTATTATTGTGCTAATTATAAAGCATTATGGACATGCATCTGTAATGCTTCAAGCTCAATATTTGTTTGTCTTAATAGCAAACCAAACAACAATTACAACATTAGTTGTAAACATGTTTATCCTCTTGTACAATATATTTATTACTTTATGCTGCAATATGCATAGCTTGCTGACTGATAAAACAGTCTTAATTGCAATAGCTTTCCCTGCTAATAGTCTATTTTTATTATTCCATCAACATTATAAGCTTTTAATTATTCTATAGATGATTAGGCATGCAGCCCTATCACTCAGCCATTAGCCTATAATGGTGGAATTCTTGTAAAGATAGTGAAGTCTGCCATAATTACATTCTAGCCTTATTCCAGCAATTAGAGGAGACCAGATTTATGGCTCCCGATTGGTAGTGCCTGAGCTTATTAAGTAGTAAACATGAGCATAAATAATTAAATTGTAATAATATATAGATTATGTGCATCACAATGGCATTCATGGTATATGACCAAAAGTCACGCCTCTTCATTATAATGCATTATTTGTGAGGGGAACTACCTTGTCTGAACTTTGGTAGGAGGCTACTTGACCCATGAATTGTGCACTGTATTGTGTGCTGGGAGCTACCTTGTTATTGTATATAATAGCTCCATTATAGTATAACGAGTAATCAGAGCTACAATGAAATATAACAATAAAAATGTAGCAGTTCCAAGTGCAGGATACAGTACACAGTCAAATACTGTTCATATCTGTACTAGCAACTCAAACTTGACTCATCTAACAAAGTTTCTATTTTCAATGAACTTTATATACATTGTAAAATATGTGAACAGTATCAATGGCAGGCCCATCCTAATAGTGTAATAGCTACATGCAACTCACCATTATTAAGTAATGTGTACATTACTAAGGATGGCAATTGTATTTCATGTACATAATGCAACATGAAGCTATAAACCTAAATGCTTAACAGACAACAGTCATTTCAGGTTATTGTAGCTTAGCCTCACAATCCAGACCATTCCCCCAACCAGCCACTGTCACTTGTGCTGTCCACTCAAATAACTGTAGGCTGGTGAATGGTCTGGCTAGTGAGTATTACAATAATTGCATGCTAGCTTGGTGAGCATAATTCCTATGCTTACAGTAGGCATGATCACTTTTATAAGGAATAAGGAATGGGATAATAGAATCTAATTTATATTGTTGTATAGAGCACTATTATTGGTTTTGAATTACTGATACCCTGAGAAAGTAAAGATAGCCTTATTGGCTATTATAATAATACTGGACTTATCAGTATCCATGGATACTGATAAGTCCAGTATTATATTATTATAATAGTCAATATGGCTATCTTGACTTCCCCAGATTATCAGTAATTCAAAACTTAATAGTATAATGGACTATGCCATTGTAGTTTATTGTCATTACTCTCTCCCCCTCTTTCTCTCTCCCTGGTTGTCAATGGACACTATAAACTCTATGGCTTAATTGCTTGTAGATGCTATATAATGATGATCATGAAATGTACTCAAAAATCTTAGATAAGACTAAATATAGTTTGCTTCAAGTATAGTCTATATTATTTATACAATACACTGGCTCAATATTTTTAAAAGAAGAAAAGAGATCAGCAATAATCAAAGTCACTAATAAATGGTTAGTTCTAGTTGTGTTCAGTTATTTGGAGTAAGATTTCCATAATTAGTCTTTGACTTCATCTGCTTTACAATAAAGAGAACAAGAGCTACAATAGTTAACAGAACACCAATACCAGCAAATGCCTATCAAGAGAATATTAATAATAGCTTGTCTGTTTAACGACTTACGGCTGCAGTTATGATTTCTGCACCATTTGGTGCCAAAGGTCCAAGACCAGAGAGGTATTGTGGTCCAGTGCAGTCAAAATAAGTATCAGCACCAGTTTTTGTTATATTTTTGTTTGTAGCACAGGTCTTTCCCCAACCAGCTGAAACCACCACTGTGGTAATGAATAGAAACAAAATAGAACCAGAAAAGAATCCAATTTGGAGAATCTTAGCAATCAACCTTCAATGGAATTAAATTTTAATAGAGTTATAGATCTACCACTGAAGTACTTACGTTTTTGCATTTATTTCAAATAAAAGACTGAATAGCTCAATGGCAGTTAGCAGAGCCAGACATATGATGGCAATGGTAGCACTTGCTATACCCAACTTACAAGTGGGTACATTATAATTCACCAGACTTGTGTTCATAGCTTGAGTATAAGAAACGAAGAAAAAGCATCTTACCCCATTATCAGTGTTAGCCTGAAGTAGACCAAGAGAAGTACCAGCAGCTCCCAATGACACTAGAAGTATCACAAAAGAAGCTACTGAAAAGATCTGCTTGACTAAGGCTTCACTAGGCATGATAGTATTCTTAAACAGAGTTGTATCTGCAATTGAACTAAATTCTTTCTTTTATGCATGGACGTGATCAAAGAGCCACACCTTTAATTTGATGCATTGTCTATGAGAATATTTAGTGTGAGGGAAACTTTGGATTGATTGACCCTTGTACTATGACTGACCTTAGCTGGCACACCTCACTGACCTTAGCTCCAATTACCAATAACATGTTGACAACATTTGTATCTAGTAAAACATAATGCTTGCAGTGTATGAAGTGTTTTTGTATGAAAAAAATAAATCATCTACAGTGTTTATAGTTTAAATTACCTTTAATTAGCTTTTAGTAATGAAACTACATTAAGCTAATCATTAAGCTACAATAAATTGTCATTGTTAAGCTAAATATTCTAATTAAAATTTCTTCTACTATGGCAGGAATTTTGATAACCTATTAGGGCAAGCCTGAGCATTAAACAACAATGTAGTTGAGTGAAGCTTTTATGCTTGTATGTGCATGTACATAAATGTGTGTATGGCAAAGGGAAAAACCCATTAATGGTGTAAATTCTTCTAATTGTTATGTATGCATCTTTTTAAAATGATCATTCCTCTGAAATTTCCCCCAAATAATGCTCCTTATAGTTATATCTTTCTAGCTCACCTTAGTTTAGTGTAAAAATTATATTGTTAAGTATGGAGATATCATTACTTGTAAATATCTGATGTTTTTTAGGCACATGTACATGTATGCATTCCATCGCCTATCAATCACTTGTATTATGTAAATACCATGTATTTATACTTTGCGAAAAGTTGTCATGAGCTGATTACAACTAAAAATTTTTAGTACATGGCTATTTCAAAAAATTGCCAATTTCTGAAAATTTCTCTGTACTATAGTCCATGCTTTTTCGGAAAAATGATTAAAAAAATGACCCCAAATTTTTATTACATTTTCTGATACATATTAATGTTCTTATGCTATGTAGAAAGTTTGAGACAATTCTGACTTAATTTTTTTGAGTTATGACCATTTTAAAAAATTTGCCAAAATCTGAAAATTGCCCATGCTTTTTGCAAAAAGTGGCTAAAAAATCACCCCCAATTTTTATTACATTTTCTGATACATATTGATGTCCTTAGCTTTGTAGAAAGTTTGAACTGATTCCGACTTAAATTTTTCAAGTTATGACCATTTTAAAAAATTAGGCAAAATCTGAAAATTACCCTGTACTATAGCCCATGCCTTTTTTCCAAAAAATGGCTAAAAAATCACCCGAAATTTTTATTACATTTTTTGATACATATTGACGTCCTTATGCTGTGTAGAAAGTTTGAGCCTATTCCGGCTTAATTTTTTTGAGCTATGACCATTTTTTAAAATTGGCTAAAATCAGAAAATTACCCTGTACTATAGCCCATGGTTTTTTTCTAAAAAATGACTAAAAAATGACACCCAATTTTTATTACATTTTCTAATACATATTGATGTCCTTATGCTATGTAGCAAGTTTGAGCTGATTCTGACATAAATTTTTCAAGTTATAGCCATTTTTAAGAATATGCAAAAATCTGAAAATTACCCTGTACTATAGCCCTTGCTTTTTGAAAAAATAGTTTTAAAATGACTCCAATTTTTATTACATTTTCTAATACATATTGATGTCCTTATGCTATGTAGAAAGGTAACTTTTTTGAGTTATGGCCATTTAAAAAAATGTCAAAATCTAAAAAATTCCCTTTGCTATATAATATAGCCTATGCTTATTTTTTGAAAAATGGCTCCAAAATCATTCCTAATTTTTATTACATTTTTGATGTCCTTATACACATGTATTCCTACAGCAAATTAATAAGTTTTGGCCATTTAAAACTTTTGCTGAATCAGAAAAAAATACTAAATAATAGATTCTAAAAATTTCTAGAAAAGAAACATGATACCCCATTATTAGTGCTAGCCTGAATGAGACCAAGAGACAATAGAAGTATTTATTGCCTTGGTAATGATTTTATTATGAGCACTTCTTAGTACAAATCCTTTCAACCAGAAAAAGCATGTAATCATAATATAAAGTAAAAGCTGAGCATACATAAACAGAAACTTACAAAAAGTCATCACAAATAGTGCAAGTGTATATCGTAACCACTTTTGCACATAAGAACTAAGTATACTATAAAGTAAAAACAGAGCATGCAAAAATACAAACTTAAAAGTAATAGAAACAAAAGAAAAGTGATAAGCAATAAAATAACCTAGCTGTGTGTGTATAACTTAAAACTAAAGCAATGGTATTGGTTAATAGTTTAATTTCACTGATTTAATTGGGCACTAAAATGGTATGCTCCTATACATACTCGTACATTAATTTAGTGTTACCTACATTACAGGTAGCAAGTTACTGTAAGTTAGGCTGTAATTACAAGTACTTATGACTACTGTATACAGTATAACTACCTGCATATTTTTGTTTTGTGCTATTAGTTTTAAATTATTAATGATACTTTGAAAAGTAATGAAAACCAAGCTCATTAACTATAATTCTGTATTTATTTAATGCACTAGCAAGGAAAGCTGCAATCCACTTAGATGGTCAGTAGACTACATTGCATATGAATTAGTTGTTTTGCATTACATATTGAAAATAGGGAATTTGTCACTATTTTTCCCAAACTGTTTTGATTGTGTTGTTGCATAGGTCCATGGGCTAGCTTAAGTGGCCATGCACACATCATAATTCATTATTATGTTTATGACAACCTCTTAAGTATTTTGTTTCTCCTTATGTAGTTTTTAGCTTCTTATTGTCATGCCTCTCTCATTCTAAAATATGCATAACATGGCAAGCATGAATATGCCTTAGTTACAGTAATTGTTTTGAATTATGAAATATACTCAAGACTATAAAAGCATGTTCACTTTAACAATACGTAATGCATTTCACTAATAAACTGTACATTATAATCAGCTAAAATCTGCTAAAAATTTAAACTTTAGGGTCACTATAATTATTGTTACTGCATGAAGTTAGTGTTCAATTGTTTGGTGTGATTTAATCATCATTTCGTGTCATCTGCTTCATAATACAAATGAAAAAAGCTGCAATAGTTAACAGAACACCAACACCAGAGCATATCTATATTAGGAGAATAATATTAGTAGCTTGTGCATTTAATTACTTACAGCAGCTGCTATGAATTCTGCACCATTTGGTGGATAAGGTCCAGCGTCAGAAATATATTGTGGTCCAGTGCAGCTAAAGCTAGTTCTTTCTTGGAATGTAGCACAGGTCTTTGCCCAACCAGCTGAAACCACCACTGTGGTATTCAATAGGGGCAAAATAGAACCGCCAAAGAGTCCAACTTAAATAATCCCAGCAATCAACCTGAAATAAATTAAATTAGTTAAATTAAATGTAGATCAAACACTGAAGTACTGAACTTACGTTTTTGCATTTATTTTAAATAAAACACTGATTAGCTCAATGGCAGTTAGCAGAGCCAGACATATTGTAGCAATGGTAGCACTTGCTATACTCAACTTACAAGTGGGTACATTATAATTTACCAGACTTTGATCTTCAAGTTGAGACTCAGTGATAAAAAAAGAACATGATGCCCCATTATTAGTGTTAGCCTGAATGAGATTAAGAGAAGTACCAGCAGCTCCCAATGACACTAGAAGTATCACAAAAGTGACTAAGGAAAGGACCTGATTTTTATTTTCAGTGCTTGGCATAATGCATGAGCTAAGCTTGCTATACTTATAAGACATACAGTTATTAAATCATTTCTTTATATACATATGGAACCCAATGGCCACACCTTCACTGAAAATGCTAAAACTAGAAGAACAGTAGTAAAGAAGTGCTGGAGTGGAACTTGCTACACAACATAAGAACATATATATATATGTATGTAATTATGTATCTAAAAATGATTAAAATTGAGAATTCTCTCACAGTAATTTTTGGCAAAATATTTGGCTAAGGATTCTCTACTATATAGTATAGGCCGGGACTTAGCTTTGAGAAACTTTAAGAATTCATAGAAATTAAAAAAAATCAATCGGAATCAGCTCAAACTTGCTGCACAATATATACAAGAACACTTATATGTATCGGAAACAATTATTAAAATTGAGAATTCTCTCCTAGTCATTTTTGGCAAAAATTCTTTTTAAAAATTCAATATTTATTAGAATCAGCTCAAAATTTTCATACAGCACACAAACATGCATATGTTTTATACTACATTTATGTTACAGAATTGGGCCAAACTGTACTAACCATGCTGGCCTGGTTTGGCCCAGCTCACTTCATGCACCTGCAATAGGACTATGCTTAATGCATGCTACACATTTAATATCATTGGGCTAAATAATTCAAAAAATAAGAGTCTCTAAACTTGTTCTTATACAGTTTGCTAGCTATTGCTCAGTTTTTTGAAATAAGAGTTCCATATTCATCATCATCAGACCTCATCTGCTTCACAATAAAGAAGAGATAAGGCTTGATTTAAGACCAATGATTTAGCCAAACTCCAGAGTTTACTGTTAATTTAGTAAACATCAGTGTGGGAACAGAACTCTTGTATCATCCTAAACAGTGATAAACATAAGTAGACCGTGGCAAACAATGATAAACAGTGATAAACATAAGTAGACAGTGGTAAACAATAATAAACAGTGATAAACATAAGTAGACAGTGGTAAACAGTAATAAACATAAGTAGACAGTGGCAAACAGTAATAAACATAAGTAGACAGTGGTAAACAATGATAAACAGTGATAAACATAAGTAGACAGTGGTAAACAGTAATAAACATAAGTAGACAGTGGCAAACAGTAATAAACATAAGTAGACAGTGGCAAACAATGATAAACAGTGATAAACATAAGTAGACTGTGGCAAACAATGATAAACAGTGATAAACATAAGTAGACAGTGGTAAACAATGATAAACAGTGATAAACATAAGTAGACCGTGGTAAACAATGATAAACAGTGATAAACATAAGCAGACAGTGGTAAACAATAATAAACAGTAATAAACATAAGTA